GACCTGGTCCCAGTTGGTGTGAGGATTGGACCTGGTCCCAGTTGGTGGGAGGATCACCAGTTCTTCTTTACTGTGCTGGTGGGACAAGGTGCATCAGGAGTATAAACTGAGGCCTTGTGCTCCGTGTAGAAGCGTTTCGGTCGCACCAGTCCAAGAACTCAAACTTCATTTTTCCTCAGATCAGAAGATAAAAATCAAACTAAAGTGCTTCAGATGTCCGACATGTTTTCCTGTTCAGCTGAATAAATCGAGAAGGTTTTTTTGTTTAACACTAAATTGAGATCATGGAGCTGAGCAGTGACTCGTGTCCACATCACCGCCTCATGATGGAAGAAAAGATTTCATGAAGGACGGACACTGAGGCTGGTTTGGTTTAAAGAGCAACACTTCTCCTGATCCACCGTGACACGAATCATCACGAACCTTCAGGTCCAGGAGCCAGAAGAAGACGAAGTCCTTCATCATCGTCAACTTCACCGGGAAATTCTGCCGTTCAACGGTTGAAGGCCACAGTTTTTACCGTGCCGTCGTGAAGAACATTTTATGGTGAAATTATGGAAACAATCTATTTCAACAATATAACAACAGTTATAATAAATATAACAACAGTTATAATAAATATAACAACAGTTATAATAAATATAACAACAGTTATAATAAATATAACAACAATTATAATAAATATAACAACAGTTACATTAAATATAACAACAGTTATAATAAATATAAAAACAGTTATAATAAATATAACAACAGTTAAAATAAATATAAAACAATTATAATAAATATAACAGCAGTTATAATAAATATAACAACAGTTATAATAAATATAAAAACAGTTATAATAAATATAACAACAGTTATAATAAATATAGCAGCAGTTATAATAAATATAAAAACAGTTAAAATAAATATAACAACAGTTATAATAAATATAGCAGCAGTTATAATAAATATAAAAACAGTTATAATAAATATAACAACAGTTATAATAAATATA